AGTTCCTCCCTAGTGTCTTTTCTTCAGCTTACTAAAATCACTTCCATCTTATCAAGATGAAAACTTTAGAGCATTTTCAATTTGAGGACGACTGTTTTAGCAAAAAAGCAGTAAGTTTTCCCATGCTGCAGATGCTTTTATGCAAGGTACACTCGTCCTTTAAGACTAGACCTGCCCTATCTGAATCCCTGAACAATTTTTTCTTCCTCACTCTGAAACTGCAAATTGTTGCCCTTTTCATAATTGGGAAATTGATCAGCCTGATCTATATAGCCCTCTTTTTCCCTATGTGCTCCCCAGACATGTAAAAAATTATTTCTGTTGGCAGCTTGCCACGGGAGTTATAGATCCATTTAGAAACCAAGTCCTTTGCACACTGTGTCCTCAGAATAACTAAACATTAATCATGATAATAAATAGCACAGCAATGAGGAAGTGGAGAGAAATATATTTTCAACAGGCCTACTATAGTTTTTCCATTGGAGTAAATGCTTGTTTGAAAACCCTGATAAGCTACAAATCTGGGGCAAATTAAAAAAGAGAAAAAAGAAGGAAGGAAGGAAAAAATATTGATGTGAAAATCTAACAGTCAGCTAAAAATATTTCAGAAAGTTCAGTCCAATTTACTACATGAAACCCAAGCAAATTTTCAGGAAGCAAAGTCATTTTTCTTTTACTAAACAACTAGACTAAACAAATTTGGGGTTTGAGACCCTGAGATAAACTCTTAAAACTTATGCCAAAAATATCCTTAGAAATCTTCTTAAAAACAAATACCAGTTTCCCTTAACTAGTAAAGAACTGAACTTTTTTAAGAACATATACATGTGAGAGACATCTCATCTGCTTATATTTTTTGTTTTCACTTAATAAAAATTGTTCACTTTTGCAGGCCAATGTCTTGCTGAATACTGTGATTCATAGTTTCCTTTCATTCAAAACAATCTGAATTTTTGCTAATAAAAGAATATTAGAATCCCCCCCCCACCCCACCCCCCCACCCCCAACAGAACTATCTATATGTGGAATCTCTGATTCTAGATAAGGAGCTCTGGTGGCTTAGTGGTAAAGAGTTGTGTTACCTATCCTAAGGAAGGTGTTTTAAATCCACCCACTGCTCCACCCAAGAAGGAGAGACCATCTCCTCCTGTGTAATTAACTGCCTCTGAAAACCCTCTTGAGGGTCAGATATGGGTCAATTCCAACTTGAAGTTACATATCAACAACAATAATATGGAATTGAGTCAAGAACAGCAGCTGAGGGAGTTCTGCTGGCCTAGTGGCAAGAAGCTGTGCTGCAACCCCAAAGGAACACTGTTTGAATCCACCAGATGCTCTGCTGGAGAAGGAGAGGCAATCTTCTCCTGTGCCAGTCAGATCTGACTTGATGGTACACAACAAGGAAAAAAAAAAAGAAAGATAGATAGAACAGCAGCTGGAAAGGGTAGATAGGAATTTAGGGGACAGTGAGTTTATGTTAACTAAGGAGGGGCAACTTAGAGAATGAGGATAAGAATGTTGTACAACTAGAAGAATGTGGCCAATGTCATTCAGTTGTACATGTAGGAATTGGTGAATAATGTATGTTCTGCAGTATATATTCTCATCAATCACAAAGATAACTTACAAGTTGTTTTTGTTGTTAAGTGCCCTTGAGTGGCTTGTGACTCATGGCAACCCTAAGTGCAATAGCTCTGAAGCATGCGCTAGTCTGAGCTAGACTCTGACACACCTCTCTTCATTACCCCAGTTACTGTGACAATTCATTCCATCCAGGGTCATCTTCTCCTGCACTGTCCCCTCAACTCTTCCAAGCATGAGATCCTTCTCCAAGAACTGGTCACTCCTGGCCACTTTATCCCAGAGAAAACCAAAATTGTTTTCTGCCTCTTTTCTCCCACTAACATTTCCAAGGTACCTCTGGCTAGATTTAAACTTCCAGCCTCTGGCTAAGTGACCAAGTGTGATAGAAAAAAGAAGTACAAAACAAAGCAGCAGCTCTCTGCAAAGGAAAATGTTTGTTTGGTATAATAAACAACTCAAGGGCATTAGAGGAAAGCGGCCACATTTGAATACAAACGATAATGAGGACACATTTGCCATTGGCAGCAGAGTGTGATCTCTGCAGGATGGTTTTCTGACCGTTGGCACATGAATGTATGTAAAATTCTCTCCTTGTAGCTTGGGGAAGTGCAAAGGCCATTCAAGATTGAATCATGTCCCCAAGGGAGCTCCACCTCATGGTACAAGCCACAGTGTGGAACCCCCTGAACCATGGTAACCTAGATGTGAAAGACAGTCCATCTACACTGCTCCCCTCTTGCACATGCACTAATCAACACAAAGTATTCCTGGATGTTCAAAGAGCTACTGAACTTCTTGTGTGTCACAGAGCAGGAGAGGCATCTTCCATTACATGTTGGAGCAAAGAATTTTGAATCTGTCTTTTTTTTTAATTATTATTATTAAATTTTATTAGTTTTAATGAATATTTACAGAGATTTTGGATTTTCATTCATTCATTGTTGCACTGTTTTCTCCACCCTCATCCCCAGTTCGTTCTTCTTGCCCCCACCCATGTCTGTTTTAATTGTCCAATTGCCACAGTGCTTGTCAAAGCCAGTTCTGATTAATCTCCTTTGTCAGTGTGTCCCTTGCCATTCCCTATCACTCCTCCCTGAGAGAGACTTCACCCTGATTCATAAGGAAAAGGGGATGGCGTATTCTCTTAGCTACTTCCTGCTGAAAAGGGATGCTGTGGGTTTCAGGGTGAAGGTCTTCTCTCACTACTCTAAAGGGCCCCTTTGGCAGTAGGAAACACATAGACTATTATGGAGATTGATTTTGGAATTTAGATGCACTGTTATTAATTGTGCTTAGCCGTACATGTTCATATCCTTGAAGATGTATCATGGAAGTGTTGCAGCCTAGAAGATACAAATTTAACTAACAAGTTAAAAGTGCATGAGTCAAAAATTGAAAAGCAATAATATTCTGAGTAGAGGTTCTAATAGTGGCACAAATCAAGTTACAGAGGTAAGGTGGTTCCATTGCCATCCTTACTCTAACTTCAATGAATGAATGGAAATCCAAAGCCCCTGTAAATTTTCACTGAAATTAACAAATTTAAATTTAAAAAAAAAGAATTAAGTTAGAGTAAGGATGGCAATGAATCTGTCTTTAAGAAGATATTTTAGCTTGTTCCGCTTTCAGACTGGAGGCTTCCGGCTGCTCTGAAGTGCTCTCCAGCCTTCCACCAGCCGTCTCCACCTTCCTTCTCTTCACCCCTTTCTCTTTTCTTCCTCACACTATCTAGGATCAATCTCTCAAAAGAGTCTCATTACCATGGAGTGGGAATAAATTTGTACCTGACCTTCTGTTGAGTTCCTGAGACTGTAAATCACACAGGAGGCTAATGTCTATCTTTCTCCCTTGGAACATGAGAAGATTCAAACTGCCTTTTGGATTAGTCAAGCAGAAACCTCACTTCTTTACTTCCTCATGTGAAGCAATGTGCCCTCAGACTTCAAACTTCAACCTAGTTTCCTTCTTTTTCCTCAACTTTTTTCAGTGTGATTTACAAAGTAAATTGGTTTTCCATCCAACCATTCATACAAATTTTGCTTTATATCTTTAACTATAATAAACACAATGAAAATGTACTTTCCCCATTTCTTCCCTGTATTTCTCATTTCTATCAATCCTTCTCTTATGTCCTTTTCTGACTTCCACACCATCTTCTTAGATAAATGCTATTCTTTTGACTTTTCTTCTTGGCTCTGGTTACATAATCCATAAGAGGCTGCACTGCTCACCCAAAGGCCACACCTCTCTGAGACTTTGAATCCAGTAGTGTCTCTGTGGGAGAAAGATAAGCAATCTCCTCTGACACCAAATAGAGGGTCAGCTAGACTTAGGTACCTATTTAAATGTAGGGAGTGAGGAAGTTAGTTCTTATTTAGCTATCAGCAGAAGCAGCTGATTCACCTACTCTGCTCAGAGAATTGCTTTTCATCCCAAGGAAATGGTGCTCTCTGTCACTCTTAAACTCTGCCAATGTTGTGTCATAAGCTGGTGTAAGGATGGGGTATGTTTGGGGAGCTAGATGGAGACACTTTGGGCAACAGAACATCAGAGACCCCCTGAAGATGCTGGGATCTTTGTTTGGAGAAAGAAATGGAAAGTAACATTAATAATCCCACCAATGACCCTAACAAGCAAACCATCAGTCATAACAGGAGTCCCCTTTGCTACTCCTCCAACCAGGAAAAGACTAGACAAAGAAGATTGCTCAGTTCTGAGGCTTCTTCTCTCAACACCACTCCATGAGACTGCATCTACTGTACTCAAAGCAAGCCTTTTCTTGTTGCTGAATCCTGATCCTAAAGTGGAGCTGGAGCCAGACAGCAGGACAGTGTCACCATGGGCAAGATACTAAGTGACATTTCAGGGATCCACATTCTGGATCCACCAATGTCTCCACAAGAGAAATATGAGCAGTCAAATCCCATGCAAGTTACAGCCTCTGAAAACCCTGGTCAGCCATGAGTCAGTTCTGACTGCAGGGCCTTTCAGCATAAAGAAAATTTCAAACACTTCCTGGCAGCCCTGCCAGACCAGACTCAGGTTCGTGGTCAGCACCTGCAGATAACCAGCAGCCAGATGGAAGCTACATGCTGGAAGGTGGCTTGTCCTCCCTGAGTTTACTGCTCCACTTGGGAGTATGGGAAGAAGAGCTGCTTTGAGGCCCCTGACAGGAGGTCAGGCCTCACTCCTCGCTCTGTCGCTGTGAAGATGGACATCAGCATCCTCATGCCTGGCTCAGCCTAACATGTCTCTGAGGGCCAGTAGACAAATGCTGCTGCAAACTTCCTTTCGCTTTTTGCTGTGACTTCCCAGAGCATAAAATTTGAGAAGTGAAACTGAACATGTCACCCTGTAAAAGGGTAAAGGAAGAACGGGCCCTGTCCCTGAGCCTGTCGCTTTCTTCTCAGGTCACCATGGAAGGTCTCCTGTCTACCCTCCTTGCCTGGGCTCTGCTTTATTTTGGTGGCAGTGGCCAGGCCTGGCCCACACACACAGCTTGCAGAGAAGGCGGCTTGGAAGTGCTCTACCAGAGCTGTGGTAAGACCTTTAAAACATCCCTTTGTGTTTCTAAGGGAGTAAGGCACCCAGATGTGGCCTGCTGAAGTGCTTAGCAGATGTGGGTGAAGGGAGAGGGACTGGTGTGGCCAATCTCTCACCTGCCTCTAGATCAGCTGTCATTAGGGGCCTGTGGAAGGAGGAGAAGGAGTGAGAGAAAGTTTGACTTGAAAGACAAAGAAAATGAGGAAGACAAAACTAAGAGTCAGTGTAGCAATTCACTAACACCACAGAACTGAGACAAGACTAAGATGAACTAAAGTACCCCAAGGTCATAACATTACCCTCCAATCCAAGGTAAGAGAAGGTCAAAGCAAAAGCCCACTTTGTGTGCCTGGGCTGCGTTCCCTTTTTACTATGTTGGCAAGTTGTGTATAAAGAACATTTAAGCCCAATGCGATCATGGTCCTCTTCTTAGATCTCTAGGCCCCCTTACAGCAGTAGTTGTTATTCTTGCTGACAGCTGTCAAACCAGTTCCAACTCAAGGTGACCCTAGTCACACAGAGCAGAGGACTGTTTGGTCCTAAGTCATTCAGTTGTTACAGATCAAACTCGGCATTGATTTCAGAAGCCCATTGGCATCTGGTTGATTGTGACTGGAAGTGATGCTTTGGGACATAGTAGAATGGGCCCATGAAAGTTTCAAAACTGTAATCATCTTTCTTTCTATGGAGCAGTTGGTGGATTTGAACCATGGGGAGCAGTGATTTCAGTGCTGGGTTTTTCTTTAGAAGTAAAGAGACAAATAGGAATGTGATATTATCTCAACGGGCCAAAGAGGTATGCAAAAGGTGAATTACAGCAACCATATGGGTTGAGTCAGGAGCAAAAGACCAAACCCTGACTGGAGAGCAGAGGTGCCCAGCGAGTGGAGAGGCAAGATGGCTTGAAATCTGGAACTCTGGAGGCAGACAGGGAGCATGGTGCTGCATGGGCAGCTTAGGCGTGTAGAAAGGGGTCCAGCTTAAATGTTCAGGTCAGCCTTTCTCTAAACTGAGGAGGGACTTAAGACATCTCCCTTGAGCAAATAGCTGAACTCCACAACTAACACCCAAGAAGCCTGTCTCAGAAAGGCCAGTGTGGTCTCAAGGCCATCTGCCTCACTTTCTTCAACTCTACTAAAAAGAAGGTCTAATGAAGCTTGCCAAAAAGACAACAAATAAAGGAGAGAAAAGCCTAGGCTGGAGGTGCTGCTCCTGTCACTCTGGCTCTGACATTCATCCCAAGTGTGTGACGAGAAGCAGACAGGAGATGAATCAGCAGGTCAGGGCATGCTTGACCAGGCCATCCTCACAGAAAGACTGCCATGGCTATCAGTCCCCCAGGCGTACTCTTCACTCAGCAGGCCAGCCTGTGCAGCCTGAGCCCCGAGCAGCAAGAGGAAAGAGAGAGAAACGTTAGAACAAGGTTCCATCACCCACCTGTCCTCAGATGGGCCTGCTCACTAAGTCTGGAGCAGCACAGAGGCCCACCCGTGCTTGGAACGCTGGTAATCATGGGGTGAAGGAGCCACTGGCAGGGGGAGGCTCAGGCCATCAAGCAGCCTGCGGTGGTGTAATACAGGCTGGTGATGAAGATAGGCTGCGACCCAGAGCTTCAAGGGTAAATTCAGCTTGACTGTTGATGAAAATTATAACATCTTCTTTATAGGAAGGATTTGCAGGTGCCAGGCATTATGTAAAATGCTCTGTCTATATTATCCTCATTTTTCAAGTATATATATATTATATGTCTCCTGAGAGAGACATCTAATCATTTCTCCAAGATCTCACTGCTAGTAGAAGCAGGATTATGCCCCAGCAGTGCAGAGATGTTGTTGTCATGTTATGTAGAGTTGAGACCAACTCATAGCTGACCCTCCAGCCAGTTTTTAGAGGCTGTAAATGGCACAGGAAGAGACTGGAATATTTAAGGAATTAAAGTGAGTTGGTCCCTGGTGTGCCTGACTCTCATGTTCATAATATTAATCTGCCTAAAATCCAGTGTCGTAGGCAGGTGAGGTGGGATAAAAGTGATACGGAGGAGCAGGGAGAAAGCAGGGCATTTGACCCTGTGTAGTGTGGGAACCACAGGAAGTGGGTAAGGGTGAGAACACAGGAGGAGGAGCAGAGACAGAACAGGGCAGTGCTCTAGAGATCCAGAGAAGGTGGGCTGCTCTTTCTGACAGTGAAGAGAGAGAACTTTTGGATTTTGAGCATTGGACTGGAATTTATTTGAAGCTGGAGCAAGAGGAGCAGTAGCAATCCTGAAGGGAAAAGGGAGTGTCTGCCTAGCATCATGTGGAAGTTCAGTGGACATCTTTGGTCCCCTGAGTTAGCAGAAAAGAAAGTAGTGCTTCATCTCTTGAGAGGACTGTGTGGTGGAGAGCTGGCCCCACGGATGGGGTGAAGGACATACAGTCCAACGAGTTGCCCCCACTTTGCTGTGACATTCACAGAGAACATCCCTGCATGCTTACGCCCTCTCACCACACAGCATACACACTGCGACTGGAACTTCACATGCACAGGGCGTGGGAGGGTTGTCTGGCAAAAGAAAGCATCTACTGTTTTCTGGCTTTGATGCTTGCTTTTCCTTTTTATTTTGTAATTTCAGCATCAGGGGAGGAGAAAGGAGAAAAGCTTAGATTAGATGCTGTTTGGAATAATTAAAAAAAAAATCCCTGGGGAGGGAAAAAAAGACCCTCATAAGCAGTTGCTGGGCTCTGGATATTAAATAGTAAGTGAGGCACATTCTCCAGAAATGTAGGAGTCCTGCCCTGCGCCATTACTACTGTTGCAGTAAATATAAGAGCAACAACCTGTTTCTAAAAGTCAGAAGACTACAAAGGCAGCCAGGGCATTTCCTTTGTTAAGTCACAGTGCATATCCCAGAGTGAGAAACAGCCCAGACACCCCACTCCATGACATACCAATGCCCACCATGTATTTATTTATATGCTGCAACTTTTGCACTGGGATCTGTGGAAGCCTACGAAAATGCATATGTTAAGAAGATGGAATAAGTAGCAGGAGAAGCAAAGGGAAGTGAGGGAGGGAGAGACTAAAGATCAGGACAGAAATGTGGACTACACAGGAAGCAGTGGAGGAGGCAAGATCTGGGGAGTCAGAGTCTGAAAACAGTGCATCATCTGTAGACCTGATGCCCTTGCCTGTAGAGGGAATACATACATTTCCTCTGTCTGCTATAGCTCTCAACTATTGCCGTCGAGTAGGAATCACTCCTAGCTAAACATCCACTGGGTTTCCAAGGCTGCAAATTACACAGGAAGAGATTGCTAATTTTTCTTCCTTGGAATCATTGGTGAATCCAAATATCTAGAGACGTGTGGCTTTTGGTTAGCAGTGCAACTTCCTACAGACTAAGCCACTATTTCTAGGTGCCATTGAGTCCAATATGATTCATAATGGCCCTGTGAACAACAGATCTGAACCTTGCCCTACTCGTCACCATCCTCACAATCTCTGTCACGCTCAAGTACATTGTGTTAGTCACTGTGATAATTCATCATGTTGAGTCTTTTTCTCCTTCACTGACTCTCAGCCTTTCCCAGCATGATGTCTTTTTCCAAGGAATAGCACCTCCTGACAACATGCCCAAGGTAAGTGAGATGAAGGTTAACTATCTTTGCCTCCAAGGAGCACTCTATTTACACTTTCTCCAAGACAAATGTATTTGGTTTTTGGCAATCGATGGTATGTTCAATATTCCTTGCACACAATTCAAAGGCATGGACTCTTTCTCAGTCTCCATTACTCATTGCACAACTTTCAGATGCATGGGAAGCAACTGAAAAGACTATAGTTTTTATCAAATATACATTAGTCTTTAAACTGACTTCCTTCCTTTTTAGTACTTTCAGAGGTTCTTGATAACAGATTTCCCCCTATGCAACACTTCTTGACTACTGATACCAAGGGTACTAATTAGGGATCCAATTTTTGACAATGTCAATCTTTCATCCATTTATGATATTTATGTTATCGCCTATATGTCCAATGGTATTTTCTGTTTATTTGATGTTGACACATAATCCATATTGAAAGCTATAATCTTTGGTCTTCTGCACTGTTTCAGATCTTCATTTTCTGCAATGAAGGTTGTATCAATGACCCATCACAAATTTTTGATGAGTCTTCCTCAAATCCTGATGCCCCGTTCTTCTTAATATAGGCCAGCTTCTCAAGTGATTTACTCCGAAAACATTATTAATGGATAAGGAGAAATGATACAACACACTTTCCTGATTTTAAACCTTGCAGTGTTCTCTTGTTCTGTTTGGACAACAGCTTCTTGGTCTATGTGTAGATTTCACATAAGGGGTTATACAATTTGTTGAGTAGGGGGATGAGGGAAATTGAAAAAAATTGTTCTTGAAAACAATGTATTCAGATTTTTTAACTAGTAGAAAATTAAAAAGAGTTCTAGGATTTTCATTCTTATCGATGTTAGCCAAAAGTTTTTACGATCTACACAGTTAACTGCCTTTGCATAGTAAGTAAAACACAAGTTATTATCTTTCTAGTGTTCTCTACTTTTAGTCAAGATCCTTTTAACATCAACAATGACATTCCAAGGCATGCCAATACATTCTGAGAGATGTCATTGCATTCTGAAGGATGTCATTGTTGCTGTCAGAGGTATTTTGACTAAAATCAGGAATACTAGAAAGACATTCGTGTTTTATTGACTATGAAAAACATTTGACTGTGTATATCATAAAATACTATAGCTAAGTTTGAATATATAGAAATTCCCTCTTGATATGCTCTTGTATTTTCTAAACAATATTCAGTAAAATTTTAGTTTCATGTAGTATTGACATTGTTTGATAACTTTGACATTCTATTGGCTTATTCTTGTTTGTAGTAAGAACATGCATCTCTTCCAGTCATTTAGCCAGATAACTGTTTTCCAAATTTGTTAACAGAAACTAGTGAACAGGTCCAGGGTTTCATCCGTTTGTTGAAAGCATGTCACT